TCTGATGTATAAGCCATGGTATGTGGCATAGTGTACTGGGTAAACCTAAGCAACTGTGGTTTAGTCATTCAGCCATGTCTAAGGAAACTGTGGCTTGTCATAATGGCTAAACTAGGCCACTGAGCATAGTTAGTCTGAAGTAAGCTATGACAAGATGTGCTGATGGCTACTAAATTATTTGTTGTTCAGTCGTTAAGTCGTGTCCGACTCTTCACGACCCCATGAACCATATTGCGCCAGGCCTTCCTGTCCTTTAAAAAAAGGGATTAGTCATACAGGTAGTCCTTGTTTAGTGACTGCCTTGTTTAATGACTGTTTGTAGTTATGACAGTGATGAAAAAGTAAGTTAGTGACCAATCCTCACATTTATGACCTTGTAGGTCTGTAAAGCAAAGGAAAGCTGAAGTAAGTTCATAAGCACAGTCACAATTTCACTTAGCAACCACTTTGCTTAATGACCGAGTTGCTGATCCCAATTGTGGTTGCTAAACAAGGACTATGTGTATTAATCAAGAATAGGAGCTATGGGATTAACAATCAGCTAACAAAACTATGTTGGCCTTGAGAGGGGATTGAAATGTTGGCAAAGGAATGATGAGATTCTAGAAGTTAGAGCATAACTTAATTGCTGAGCCTTTTTTTTCCATGATGGATTTACATGAAGGCAGGCTGTTAAATTGTTTCCATGATATAGCAATAAAATGGATGAGTATGTATTGCTTTGAGCTCCCTTAGTAGAATTTGTGTTGCTCTGTATGTGAATAAACTTGAAACCCACGCCTAAACTTCTCATTAGTATCAGCTTTCATGTTATAAACTTTTGCTTCCCAAATTCTGATATTAATTCTTGAAACATCATATTTGCCTTTTCATCTAGCTCACATAGTGGGAACAAAGCAGAATATAAACTTCCATTCTTGAGATTACACATGCATTTTGTAGCAATTCAGCCTTTGAAATTACTTGAGAACTGTGGGAGGGTTATGTTTTCCCCACATTTTTCATTGTACAGATGAATTCCTGCCTCCCAAAACTGTTTTCTTTGCAAAAACATGAGAGAAGGGAGAAGCAGAGCTGGGGGACAAGAGAACAGATTAGGCAAAATCTGTGCCATCCTCTTAGTTTATAGCCTTAGGGCATATACTTCAGCACAAAGCTGGAAGCCTATAAGATACTTCAGTGTTATGCAACTTACTCTATTTCATTTATTTTTTAATCAAGAAGGCTAAGTTTCTGAATTGTATAAGCACTGAAATCTTGAGGGTGTCCTTTATTTTGCCAGGAGTTTGTTATTCTGTGTACAATCACAAGGGGTTGTTTCAGATCCAAAGCATAAACCCATGACTGATAAGACCATACAGAGAGTAATTTAAGGCTTTCTTGAATTGTTCCACTGCACCAATTTTACTACCCCATGAAATCACTTTGGGGATTTTTGAGGAAGCAAAAGGGCATGAAAGTAGTAGCAGCACTTGTCCAAGCAACTGGAAGACAGTATTTTATTTACTCCACATCGTTTCTGGAAGTAAGGGCAGAAAGAAATTGTCTTACTCTTACAGTGTAATTATGGCTTGGTGCCAAAGTACCCTCAGGATTGCTTTCTGTTCCCAGTATAAACCTGCCCAAGCCATGTGTCTCAAGATATCTGCTTGTGGCTCTCACTATTATGATGTGAGAGGGTTGAGGGGTGCCATTGCTGTTTTTCTGGGCCCAAACTATGTGGAACAGCCTCCCAGTTGATATTAAGATGTCCCATACATTATTGGCCTTCTGGAAACTGTTAAAGCCCAAATTGTTTCAGAAAATCTGCAGTGGCTGAGATAACAGGGTTATATGATGGATGGTTTGATGCATTTTTGGTATATTTTTTTACAATTTATTTGATGTTTTATTATACTATTGCATGTTCTTGTGAACAACCTTTAAAAAAATCCTTTAAAAAATCTCAGTTGGAAAGTCCAACAAAAAAATATAAGCATCCTTCTAATTTCTCAAAAGATATACTGTAGGTCTGTGGCTATAAATAACAGTATTATGGTTTTACTTTATATATTTTCTGGACAGTCTCTTTGCACAATACATCTGTTGCATTTTTTTTTTAAATTGACACACCGTAGACAAATTTGTCTTCCTTTTTTGCAGGAGATCCAATCTGAATTTTTAAAAACATATCTTTTTCAAAGATAAAAAGTAAAAACATTTAATTAAAAAAAATAAAATAAAGAACGAATGCAGTAACCTTGCTGTTTAAGTTCAGTTGGGTATTATTTCATTACCATAATCAAAGTCACCTTTAGCACTTCAAGATTCACATGGATTTTATGAGATTGGCTTGAAATGGCTGCCAAGGTATAAAGCCCTATGGTTGAAGTACTTTTATAACACATGCTTCATAAACCCATATATAGTAGGACAGTGCACTTCATCCTGAACAATTACATCATTATGTTCCACAAAGGTGATAATCTGAATTTACATCTATTAATTAAATTGGTTATTAATGTTAATTTCCAAGTTATAATGACTTTACCAGAAACGGAAAGAATAGGTTCAATCAGCCTATCAGCCTGAACAAGACTGAAGTACTTTACCAGCCCATGCAAAATACCAACCCCTTAGTACCAAAAATCACTGTTGATAACACCCAGCTGACAAATGTAAACAGCTTCAAATACTTGGGAAGCATCATCTCAAGTGATGGGTCTTTGGAAAGAAAGAAATTGACTCCAGGAGCAGCAAGGCCAGCCAGGCACTAGGGCAGCTGTGTACTAGAGTGCCCAATCAAACAACATCTGTATCTCCACAAAGCTGAAAGTCTATAGAGCTGTGGTTATCCTTTCTCTCCTATATGGATGTGAATCCTGGACTCTGTACTGAAGGCACATAAAACAACTGGAGAAATTTCACATGTGTGCTCTCCATTCCAACCTCAACATTCATTGGCAAAACCGTGTCTCCAACCTGGAGGTCTTGAATCACGCAGAGTCCACCAGCATTGAGTTCCTGATTATCAGAGCCCAGATGTAGGTGGGACTCGTTATCAGAATGGATGACCATCGTATGTCTTGCCAATCGCTCTATAGTGTACTGGAGTCTGAGAAGAGACCTTGAGATCAACCATGCAAGTGCTACAAAGATGCTGTGAAAGAAACCCTATGCCACTATGACATCCAACCAAGGGAACTAGAAGCAGTGGCTGCTGACAGAATCCACTGGCCCTGTGCTATGAAGCCTCCACCAGCTTTGAAGACAGGCGCATGAGTGGCATCACAGAATAACACATGAGTGGCAGCACAGTTATTATGACAATTGACTTCCAGTGCCCCTGTTGTGCTAGACTCTGAGCTTCCAGACTGGGACTGCAGAGCCACCTCTATGTTGACAGGTGAACTGCACAATAGCATGTCTTCTTTGAACCTGAAGGACTACCAATGTAATAAATGACTTTACCAGAAATTGAAGGAATAGGTTCAATCATGTTGTCCCTGGATGATAGACAATCTCAGATATTCTCTGATAAAGACTGAGAAGTTAGTAGTTCAATTAGCAATCTGCATCATCCATTGGAGAACTTACCCTGGAACATACAAAATTTAAATCTAGCTTTTGAGAGGAATACCAGAAATCATAATGCTCCACTAGACAGTTTTTGAAAGCTGACAATTTAGGCATAAAAGCTTCATAATATACACTGAATTCATATTGAACTTGATTTTAGGTGGGTGGGTACTAGGATGTAAAACCCTTCCCTTTGACAACTCCAGAATTCTTGTGGGGTTGGGGGAGGCCATTGATAACTACTTTATTCTTGTGGGGTTGGGGGAAGACATTGATAACTATTTTTAAGAGCTGTCCTGATTGGCTAAAATAATCTAAAAAAGCAGAAGTCTTAGTGATCTTTACTTTACTTTAGTGATATGCACAATTCCTAGTTTTATGAAATCACTCTAGGAGGAAGCAAACAAGTAATAAAAAAGCCTGCAAAAGCAGGAAGGATACCTGTGAACAGTCATACGATTATTTTTGGTGAAAAGGCAATATATAATTTAAATAAATTAAAACAATCATATTGGGGATATGCTTCACTCCAGGAGAAAACCAAATTATGCAGAATCAGCCTGTTCTAGTTCTGGATTTGAGCATTATTCTAAGAGTATGCATATCTAGAACAGCCATTTGGTAGCAGGTTCTTTGCTACAGAGGCAAGCTATATGCGAGGCTTTAATCACAATTTTATTATGTGATCTGAAGCATTATCTTGAATGAACATCCCAGTGTACTGGCTATGGAAGTCAGAATGAAATGGAGATGATGCCAGATTTTATTTAATTTTTAAATAAAATGTGATGATTTCATTGGATGAAACCTAAACTAAACTGATGGAGGAAAAAGGAAAGATAAAGTTTATTTTGTTTTTATTTGGGGCATGGTATGCAGTATGGATACGGTGTTCTACTAGCCTATGCCTAGATCTCTTCAAGTTACTCAGCGTGCACTGTCACATCACTACAGGAGCAAATGGATTCATTACACCTGAGGACATAGGTTATTTGGGCTATTTGGGAGCTGTGGGAAAAACCCTTCAATCTCAAGTAAGGGGAAAATTAATGAAACTGCACTTATTAAAAAGTTAAAACAAAACATAGAAAGAGGAAGCTCAGGAAGAAATATCAAATTTTATATTATAACAGGAAAAAAATATTTCAGGTGCCCACTGTATCCCCAGTGTGGCCCTTTCATATGGAAGTAGTTTTCCTAAAAGTACAGACCAAGGCATTGAATCAAAAGCTTCAATCTATGGCTGAAGATGACTTTCTTTCCATTGGAGAAAGAAGATACTTGCAGATACTTTTACCACCACCTGGCAATGTGAAATCAAAGAAAAGTGCTTCAGTATGTCTTTTTTTCCCCCATTGTTGTTGAGAGAACTGGGTTATAATCGAGCAAAAAGTGTATCTTGACCAACTCACTCTCCTTGAAGACTGCCGAATGTTTTTACTCATCCAACTGAATATTCTTCATTCAGTGGTATTGGAAGACAGATTCAGGAACATCACTACAGTGACAGAATCTGCCCTTCTGACTTGGTACAGTCACTGTATCTTTTATAAGGATAATTGTAATAAATTAATATTGCCTAAATTAGAACTATTTCTGGACACCCTGATAAATATTGGGTTAGGTATCTTATGTACAACCAAAATCTCCCAAATACAGTCCAAGTTCTCAAGTTTTGCTGCCCCATCTGGAAATCTAGGTGATACCTTACAGCCAAATACATTATGATCGCTTAGGATGTTGAAGTCTCCTGCTCATGTTTTTATGGTTAATATTATTATAAATTGTGGGCCCTATTCAATTGTTCCCTTGTATTTTGGTCTGTGACTGTAATAACGTTTTTTATCTATCAATTATTTACTAAGTAATCTCCAATGTGGCCCCCTGGGATTCACATCTGTTGGCAGATACAATATCGAACTTTATTCTAGACCAAGGTTTCAGTGTGACTACTATGTTGTCTTAATATTCTTATTAAGGTCTAGGAACACATTTTAAAGAAATATGCTTTAAAGGTTTTTTAAAAAATGTTTAGAATTCTGACAGAAAGAGCCAAGCAAAGAAATCAAACCCTTGCAATCATTTAAATGTAGCCCACATAGTTATATTACTACATTCCTTTTTCAGCTGGAACTTTTTGCCCTGCTTGAGCTGCATTCACATGTACAGGGTTGATTGTGCCTTTGTTAACTTTTCATGAAGCATTAGAAGAACAGTCTTATTTCATTCAGCAGCATTCTGCAAGATTTTTCCCAACAATAATGGACAACTTTGCACCTTGCCTAATCCACAGAGAAAGAAAAATGCATAAGAAACTGTTCTAGAAAATAGCAAGATGAACAATAATTTCTTCTTTGTAAAGAGCTGCCATTTAACCTAATATTATGGAAAATGATTAGATCTTTAAAGCCTATACATTATATTTGACAATACTCTGGTGTTCCTTCTAGCAATTATAAATAATGGCACTAAGCCGATGCTCAACGCACATTCTTGCTGGCATTTGTTTATTGGCTGTTAATGAAAAGAGATTAATCTAAATCAGTATTGGGGTGGATCCTTTACTGAAGACACATAATGTGCTGAGGCAGTTTTAGTTTATGAAAAATGTAAAACAGTATTTTCTTGTATAGAAAAAGCTTTTGTTCTTTGATTTTGTTATATTTTGCTGTAGAAAATCCATATTAAAAGGGGGAAGGGATTCTGATAGCGCCCTTTGCCATCAGTTTCCTTCCTTCCTTCCTTCCTTCCTTCCTTCCTTCCTTCCTTCCTTCCTTCCTTCCTTCCTTCCTTCCTTCCTTCCTT